AACGCGCAAAACTCTCGAGGCATTCTGGATTAATTGCAGAAATCCGAAAATGAACCGAAGAGAAGAATGCCTCATTATCACGCGTGATATAGGGCACTATATAAGACTGTTATTTTAATGGGAGGGGCACATTATGCTTCCATGTGATTTTTGTGGGGTTGGTCTTCACGCGACATACTTAGTGGAAACCTCATAGAAAGCGGTGAGTGTGCAAAGCTGTGTTCATTGTGATTGAAATCTTGGTTTAGAGTTTCTTGGTTTGGTTATGGAGGTGTCTGGCCGAATAGATTGCTATCAACTTGACCTTTCCAGGCGCTGATGAAGGCGAAATCCGCCGAAACGTCAGCTTATTCGTGAATAAAGAATAATAACACCTCGCGTTTGCTCAACAGAAATACCAACGGTTCATGAGGACGAAATTTCTTGACATCCATAAATATCACCTATACAAACGCTGAAGATACAATTTAGCTAATTTTTATTACGAGCCTATTTACAAGTAGAATGACGCTGAGATATTTATAAAAGTCCGAACCGCGGGTGTCTGCTGTGGGGAATGAAGCTCGTTGTTACCCTTTATAAGGGTTTAGAAGGGAATGGGTAATAGCGAGGTTCGATCCCGTTCGCATACAACTGCGATCCGGAGCTTTGCAAATATCAGCATCATTACAATTGAAGATACACTTTCTGAAAAGATAGATTAAACCGTCCCATAAACGGGAGTACGTAACATGATTATGATAAGAAAGAAAGCTAACCAAAATCCATTCTGAATTGACGATCGTGCATCCCTTGATGATTTCACTCCAAACATCATTATCATGAAGATGAAGAAGAAGGAGGCCAAAGCAGCGCACATCCTTAACTATGTAAAATAATGGGCAGAAAACCTAAAACGTTCCGCGTTCTAAAGAATCCAACAATAAGGCCTAAACATGTGAAGATCCAGACCGAATAAAATCTATCCGAAAATTATGTAACTTTGTAAGTACATACAGAATACCCGTACTATTACTCGATAAACCAGAAAGACAAGATCACAGATTACACCTGTAAACAGCTTGAAATCCCGTTGCACGTTCGCATTTTAATCCAGCATAATCACTCAGACCTTGGCAAAACCAACTATCCTAAAGCACACTACTGGTCTTCGATAATAATAACTTCAGAGAATAAGAAGAAGAAGAAGAAGAAGAAGAAGAAGAAAAAGAAGAAGAAGAAGAAGAAGAAGAAGAAGAAGAAGAAGAAGAAGAAGAAGAAGAAGAAGAAGAGGAGGAGGAGGGCAATCACTAACTACTGCGCTATCGCCTTGCCCTGAGTATTAACACTTTCTTTGATACGTGGATGCCCCGTCCTCAATGGTTGTGTAGGCTCCAGCACAATCTCCATTTTTCCGGGTTTAGGCACTATGGTTCACTGCAGCCCCGAAGCCAGTCAAGCCAAAGTCTGCCCTTAGTGATCACCACCACAAGCAGTCGCCGCCCTTATGGATATGGACCTCTCCTAATTTAATTTCTTTTATTTCAAAGGACTTGTCGTCCAAAAGTACTATGCGGATCGCAGCACTTTTTGTATTCGATCAGTTCAGTGGAGTCCTGAGATAGCATGGCTGGAAGGTCCCCATTTCGACTGTAGATACTACACATTTTCTCAAACAAGTCTGGAACCTATATTCCAACCGCGATTGGAAGGACAAATATACCGAGCACGCGGTGTGGTCGAACCAGCACTGTGCATGTGATGATCGGAAACATTACTACTGCGCTATCCTTACCTTAATTAATTACCTTAATCCTTAAGTAATAGCTTAACTAAGAAAGTGCATCAAAACTCACAGCCGCTAGTTTCTCTTGAATTCCTGGTGTAAGCATAATGCAAGCAACGAAGGTTCCGACGAAAAGCATAATGGCGTACATTATTCGAGTAGTAGTGGAATTTCGAGCTGTTGGACAAACCGAACAGCATAACGAACAAGCTGCGCTTCCACAGCAGCAGGCAATCTAAAAGAACTCGTTGAGATCAATAACCATGAAAGTTAAGCAAATGGCTCGAAATTCCAGCACCTAAGAACCACTTTACGTAGTATCAATACAACGACTTTACAAAACTCAACACTATGAACTACCCTTAAATATGAAAAAAAAACTCACTGAAGCTGCGCATGCCGGAGCAGCGAGAAGCGCACCCATTCTGTGTTAGTTGAAGTCTAAAACTAGAAATAAAAGATGAATATGATTGGACAGCCATATACAGAGTATAGTGAGAGATTTCTTTCCTATCAATATTCTAAAAAGAAGGATAAAGCTCTTGGCGCTGCTCAATCTCTGGGGGATGTACCGTGCATTCACCCTCATTACGAATAGTTTGGAGATAGGTGAATGCATATCTGGCCTTTATGATGACTCGCGGTGGTCTATCGATGTATAGAGTCAAAGCTACTATCCTCCCAGACAAGTTTGGTACCAATTAGCCGACCCCGTAGGCATGGAAGGCTTGGTGAGCCTTGGTGCTGGGTCGATCCCAAGTGTATCGGAGGCACCTGCGCTACAAGCGCTCTCCCGAATACTCTGCTAATACATCTACATATATATATGTATATGTACAATATACTAACATGCCATACTAATACTCTATAGGGAGCACTCCGAATATATCTTAAGCACAAATAGAACTGGGTTATCGATCCACGGAAAAACGACTAACAGGCGGAGGGGCACAATCTCATACCGCGATTGGTTGTGCAGCTGACGAGATTTTCGTGACGGGACCAACGACAGCAAAAAAAGCTCGGACCTTTCTCTAGTCAGCTGATTTGGCAGGCCCTTGAGTCCCTCAATTCTAGGCCGTGTTACTCGGGTCTACGTAGATGTTGTTTGGGTAAGTTACTTTTTCCTATTTCCGACCTATATTCTCGATTGAAAATGCGGATTTCCTCAAATACTTTAGGTTTGCTTTCCTTTTCTCATCCTGTTCATTCCATTGAAAATTTTACAAGTGTAAGTTGCACTTATAAACGACACGTGTAGCGCAGTGGTCGGAGGCGTCTTGTCACACACTCGTGGAATCGATCCTTGTGCCTATGGCCCACCAATCCTTACATCCCTTTGGAGTTGGGAAATTGGTACTAGACTTCTTTGGGAGGATAGCAGCACTGGCTCGATACATCGGTAAGCTACCGCGATTCATTACAAAGGCCAGATATGTATTCAATCACCTCCAAACGATGCTTAATGAAATCGAATGCATGGTGCATCTCTCAGGTATTGATCAATGCCGAGAGCTTTATCCTTTATTTTTAAAAATTATACTAGCAAAGTTCGTGTCACAGTGAAGTTTTCTCAAGTGGCGTATTGGAAGTGAGTTGTTTCATTTTGGGATTGCAGGAAAGCTGATCTTTATGTGAAATCAATGTCACCGTTGAGGTACAGTCCTATGGACTCTTCCACACATATACCTCTTACCCTTGCTGTGCTTCAGTAGTTAACTTTAGCACGAAATTTATTTCGTTAACAATGTCTAGGAATACTTTATTGGTACTAAGGGACGGGTAGCGCAGTGGTAATGATGCCTCTCATTACGAGCATTGTGCTAGTTCGATTCTGCTCCGGGCCAAGCGAGCCTCTCATCCCTTCGGGGTCGGGAAATTGGTGCCGGACTTTTCTGTGAAAAAACCACTCTCTGCAATCCAATTGGGAACGCTCCAGCCCGGCTATCTCAGGACTCCAGGTGAATTGATCGACCAGCATTCTACAACATTCAAGATGAAATGGAAATCCTCAGCCAGCAACCGAAGCCACACGTAAAAGTTGGGAGATCTTCGTGGATAAGGAATGCGAGGAAACGAATCGAATGTGAGAAATGCTGGAATACCCACAGTAGACGTGAAGATGGATCAAGTGAAATAAAATTGATGGTATTTTGAGGTTAGAAGCAAGCGCTAAAAAGTGTTTTTACACAATCAGCACATCTTACTTGGAGACTCGGATCACTCGTTTTCATTGGTTGTGTGAGCCCCAGCATAATTTCCACTTTTTCGGAGTTTTTATGGTTTAGTCATTATGTTTCCCTGGAGTTCTGAGGTCAGCCTAGCGAAAGTCTTCCTTAGGTCGTTGCCACTCCAAGCAGTTGCCGTTCTTCTCGATCAGAGGGAGATGTAATTCCCGGTATTCGTTCACTCTTAGCTGGACTTTTGTAGGTCAACGCCGGACTCCTTCTAAGCTTGGAAGATCCTGGCGGATGGATCACCCCGCTGTACATCGCAGTCCGACACCCAGGAGCATCGCCCAGCCATGATGAGGCGGCAAACCGTTGGTAGGAAGCAACACTGGGTCAATGCATCGGTAGGCTACTGTGAGCCATTGTAAAGGCCAGATATGCATTCTATCATCTCTGACGATGTTTAATGAAGTCCAGTGCATGGCGTGTCCCTCAGGGATCGCTCTACGCCGAGAGCTTTTGAGCCTCGTCGTTTGTTAGTTTAGAACATTTTTTTACCGAGATATCGAGTTACTTATCGCTGCAACTGTAGTGGTTGCTTCTTCTTTTTCTTTTTGATAGTCTAAGAATAGGTGATGGAGTTCTCGTCCTGTGTAAACACATTCTAGCCGCATGGTAAGCATAGGTTAGACTGAAATCCATCATATGAAATTCGGCGAAACTAATGCAGCGACCACTCGATATAAAGTTTATTTTTCTTCAGATTTGTTTGTAAGGGACTTGTGTGTATATTCTCAGTAAACCTAAATTATCCGCTGTTCCATGCAAACTGTATGCTAGTAGATTTAACACTTTTTCAACTAAGCATAGTTGTGCGAAATCAACCGCAACGATGCTGAGATGTTCGCAAAACTTGGACCCTGGGCCAGACCGAACCACGATTACCCTTTCCTGGGGCTAGCGCATTACGGACTGTGCCACGGAAGCCCTTGCCCTGCGTTCCTCTCAGCTAGTTTACCATCTACCAGTGTCATCAGCGGTCACCCGTCAACAGATTTGATCTGGAGAGCCCACATGGGCATTACCCAGTTAAGCTGAGGATGCAGTCGAAATCACAAGGGTTTAGTTTTTAACTGGGTTCAATGCCGATATGTGGCCACCTGATCAATCCCGTTGACGGGTGATTGCTAATGGCACTGGTAGGTGGAAAACCAGCTGAGAGAAACGCAGAGCAAGGGCCTCCGTGGCGCGTTGTGTAATACGCTAGTTCCCGGCAAGGGTAGTCGAGGTTCGATCTGGTGCGGAGTCCAAGTTTTGCGAATATCTTAGCATCGTTGTGGTTGATTTCGCATAATACGCTTCCGTGAAAATTGTAATAAGCAGTAAAAAAAAACTAAGCCTGGTTGTGTTGGGCGCGTGGTGGTAAGTCTAGTTTTCCTCCTTTTGATGTGTGTTTAACTTGAAACATGAGCCCTGTTCGACTCGTAGAGATAAACGCCGCTTTACTTATGATTTCTGCTCTCGAATTTGCCTTGTCGATGTGTTTTTTCGGTCATTTCTCTGACTTTCAGTGGTTAAAAGTTTTGTGTATGTTGAGTAATCCTCAATATTTTCATTTAGTTGCAGTTTCAATCCATAGTTGAGCTAAAGGGAATCGAAAACCTCCTTTAATGTTTGCAAAGATGTAGTGGGAGAACGTTGGTGAAAGCGCACTCTGTGCCTCGGTTAGAAGATCCCACCGTCTTCCTGGACAAGTCTCTGCGGTAGATGTCTTAGGACCCTCCTCGTTGTAGCAGTTTCATCTCTCCGTGAACAGTTTTGCATGGCAGGTTTTTTTTAGTAATTTATTAAGTGTAGAGAATAGCTTTTCAAGAACCAAGCCTAACATACTTGCTAAGCGAGCTATCGACTAGTTACGTAGCAACGCGTAAAAAAAAGACAGTGCGGCAAAACAAGCAGAACGAACGAAAGTGCATTGAAATTAATGTATACGGTTTAATCTGTTCCCGCATGCGCAGCGAAATCAATGCGTACGGTCTCCAATGTGTCAAGATTTTATTTCATAAGGTAGGCCTTACATTAGCTGTTTTCGCCACTTATTTTTCAAACAGTTTCCACTGCGATTTACTACTTCTTCATAGGCTATTGCTGTTTAATAAAGCATTTTGTACTAATATTATCTTTTCTTATGTATGCTAATCGAAAGCAAGCTACTAAACACCTCCATTACGTGAAGAAGACGAACCTAGATTACTCGTTCTTTCTCGATTGGTACAATTGGCTTGTGGTTTTAAACGCTGCTGAGATGCGCACTGCTCGGAGTATTCTATACACCTCCTCCAGCTTACGAAGATTATCATCACGCACTGTCTGACCGTTTACTTCTAGATGGCTTTGGTAGCCATGTGTTCAGTAGCACTGAAGTATATCCGTTCAGACTTTGAAGAGCCAAAGAGCACATCTCGTGCATTTTCTGTCGGCGGAATCAAAACAATCGTTTGACAGCCTAAACCAACTTATGGAAGTAGTTCGTCAACTGCTCTTATCACATTCGTAGTTCCCTGCTGGCTATCTCCGAGTAGGAAATGATGCAGGGGAATAGTGCAATATTTGTCATCATTTCATTGTTATTTCGCAATCGGTGGGCGGTACAAATGCGATCGTGTGCGGTCCATGCACTTTAAGCGAACGCTCGTCGGCATATGTGGTCAGGACAGCTGTGTCACATGTGTCCTGATATTTTCAGGGATTGATCAAGGTGTTTAGTCATGTATAGAAAGTTTTTAAGACTATCACTACTACGACTCGGTTTTAACTCATATGGTCACAACTGTTCAAATAGTATCTTTTTCATATAGTTCATCATTCATTATATTGTTCAAATCATGTTTAGTTGTTTCTGTTGTTTGTTGTTTTGTTGTTTTCTCTGGCTTGGGCACGTATCGTCGAGGTTGCCTTCCATATCAATTCTGATGTGTTGAGTCTTTTCAGATGATTGAGGTTCATGTCAAATTGAATTATAACGGGAGGTACCGTCGATTCACAATCAAGGTTAGTGCATTTGCATAATAGTGCCTTATGTTTCGTGGAGGTTAAGTATTTCATCAGTAAACTGACTGAAGTCATGTTTTATTTGATTGCCGGAAAATTAGTGTCGGCGTTTAGCATTCTGCTCTGGATACATGTTTCAGCAAAATAGCCTACCCACCACATAGTATAGTGGGCGCGTGTAGAGTAGTGGTCGGAGGCGCCCCACAATACTCATAGGGTCGATTCCTTACCACTTGGCCCACCAAACCCACCATTCCTCCGGGGTTGGCAAATTGGTACCAGACTTGCCTGGGAGGATAGCAACATTGGCTCGATGCATCGGTAGGTCACCTCGAGTCATTGTAAAGGCCAGATATGCATTCAATCACTTCCAAACGATGCTTAATGCAGTCAAATGCATAGCACATCCCTAAGGGATTTATCAACGCCGAGAACTTTTATATAGTAGAAAGTAAACAGGCTCTGTTGTAGTCCTGCTTGCGAAAGTGACATTGACATAGGTAACAGGTCCCGTATGCCTACTAAAGTGCAGTGTGCAGTGCACTTTGTTCGGTTTTATGGCGTATGGTCTTGTGTTGTTCAAAACATCTCTTCCTCTTTCAAGTTGTATTTCTATAAACTGCTTGTCCTTTAACCTCGGTGTCAAAAATTAGTATTTTGCAGTGCTGCCAAGTTTACGCTTACTTGGTAGAGATCTTTGTTGTAGCCAATTTGACGTGTTCGCCCTCACCAGAGCCGCAGCGATTTGCGTGGAGTGTCTACTGTCGTACATGCTTGCAACATGTGTTTTCATAATCGCATTGGGTCGAATCTAACCCAGTAGCGTGGAGCATCACGCAAGTGTAGTGCGAAGAATGAACTCCCAGAAAAGAACTGTAAATGTTTGCTAGGAATCGTTGTCTTTCGCGAAGACGAGGACGCCCAGAATTGCTGCCTATACCTAGTTGTTCTGTAAACCTTACAACATGGGTCTGCTTTGTTTAACATTAGTTAGTCTTCAAATGATCGTCGTCGACGCTCAAGTGAATGTTTTGCGGTGCTGTGGGTAGCGTTTCATTGAATACAACATTAGCACTCCGAGTGCTTTTTTGGCTTTAATTCGCACTGCGGTTGTTTAAATTTGCTGTTCTGGTTTTCTCTTTGCTTAAGTTTTACACAATTTAGCACAGAAATGCAACGGAGAAGTGTTTTCTGAAATCTGCGTCACAAGTTATTCCCTAATAGGAACACAAAGACATAAAACTGTATCTAACTCAGTGTCAAAACATGAGTAAAGAGTGCTGATATTGTTTTTTAACAACCAAGTGGTTTTTCCTTAACTTGTGATAAGATTCTATTCCTTGTGATGTGTTTTAGGAACTCGCAATGCATTTTTCTAATTAAGTATGCTGAAATTGTTTAGGGTGACGATATAGGACGGTTATATTCCGACCTAATAAAGCACTTAAACGAACTGGCGGATGAGAGGAGTGAGTTCGATGTTGCATGGGAAGGTTTGTTCGTTCAATGCACTTTTTTGGACGTTATTAGCCTTTCCATATTTCTATTTCCATAACAACTATTACAGATGTTGGCACGCCGCACTAAATTTTGGCGTTCTATTTATGTTTGTTCACATAAAACAATAAAATATTTCGTAATCGTCTGAAGTCTATTTCTAGATGAGGACCATGATAGCATTCTCATAACGCGTTCAATTGAGCTCGAGGAGGCTCTGCAGTCCCAATACGATGGTACTCTTAGACTTCACACAGTTGGGCGGAACGTAGAGAAAACTGAGTGCAAGAGAGATTTTGAGAAATCGTCTAGCGTCGAGGATAATATTCCGAAAAACGATGTGTGTGTAAGTCAATAGACCGATTATAAAGATCATCCTAAGTCATCACAGGCCAGATATACGCCATATACATATTTCGTTAATTTCTTAGAACAGAAGCTCATTCATATCCACGATCTTGCTTCTATGTTATGCCATAGCCTCAGGCAGGGATAGCTCAGTGAAAGTAATATCATTCAATAAACTCAAGATCCTGGTTAAACGCCGCGTAAGTCAGCCATATCTCTATCCGACCAGAGTGGGAAATTGGAACTAGGTTTGTCCTAGAAGCCCTTTCTGGTCTACAAGACTTGGCAGTATGCTAGCACAACTATCCTAAAGTCTATTTTCGTATAGGGATAATTGACTCAGCCAGATTTCAAAGATATTCATAAAGAAAACTAAAAATACTGAAGCAGTGGTCTAGCCCATACGAATGAGTTCGAGAATCTTCGTCGAATACGCATAAACGAATCGATTAAAAGGATTTTGGTCCGTTTGATGTATGAGAAGGCGAGTCGTTTATTAAGTGGCAACATGTGGTACCTTTATTCACCGGTTGGCTCGGCTACTCACAGTAAGTTGTTTTCATCATTGTCGCAAAAGAAAGCTGCATAATGGGGTTCACTTATTGTGAAAGATGATAGGCATCGTTTCGGATAGGATCACTTTTGTATGCTAAAATGGGACGAAGTGATAGCTTGTCGGTTCCTCCCGTACGCGGCGTTTATTTCTATAGGCTGGTCTGATCAGCCTCCCGTGTACTTCGTAGTTACTTGATTATTTGTTTTTCATCAAACCACGCATGATATGATCTTCATACATGTTGGCACATCTACTCACGTATGCAGGAGTAGAGCTATGTGTATGAAAAGTAAGTGAATCTTGCACTACACTGTATTAGGAAGCGGCCTATCTCAGTCAAAAATTTGGTTGCTTCTCGTTCGCGTTTGGCCCTTCAAGTTTCATGTGTTCTAACACAGTGATTCCTATTTCGCAATAAGTGGTGAAATTAATATTACCAATATAGCAACTAAATTTCAAGGGAGCGGTCCATGGAGACGTTTTGTGTGATGTCTGTGACGCAGTGATCATTGGAATTCGTTATAAATGCATTGTTTGCAGCGACTACGATCTTTGTCAGAACTGTGAAAAGACAGGCATGCCACTTGAAAGTTGATTACGTCCTTTTTTAACGTCGATATTTGTTTTATTACTATCAAATTCCAACATGATATGGTCAAGTATCACCTGGTGAGGGCACGTGTGGTGCAGCGGTCCGATGCGCCCTGCGATACACATGGGATCGATTCCAACTTCCATGGCCCACCAAACCTTCCAACCCTCCGGGATTGACAAATTGATACCATGCTTGTCTGGAAGGATAGCAGCATTGGCTCGATACATCGTAGGCCACCGCGAGTGATTGTGAAGACCAGATATGCATTCATGTATTCAGTCACCTCCAAACGATGCTTAATGAAGTCAGATGCATGGCGCATCCCTGAGGGTGGAGAACACTGGAAGTGTAATCTTAACCCTTTTATTTACTGCCTTTTTCTTTTTAATGGCAGGGTGTGTTGCGAAATATAACTTGTATATAATGCTGAGATATTTGCAAAACTCTGGACCGCATGTGTCTGCGTTGGGGAACGAACGCGCTATTGTCCTTACCGGGGAGTAGCGCACTTCACCACCACACCATCGGGATCCTTCGTTTTGCCTGTCACTCAGCTAGTTCTATTGATCTTTTGCCATCAGCAATCACCTGTCAACGGGATTGATCTGGGGAGCCCAAATCGGCATTGAACCCAGTTAAGCTGAGGTTTAGTTATAATCACAATCTTAACCCTTTTGTTTACTGCCTTTTTCTTTTTAATGGCAGGGTATGTTGCGAAATATAACTCGTATATATCACTGATGGTGAAAGATCAATGGAACTACCTGAGAGACAGGCAAAACGAAGGACCCGAATGGTGTGGTGGTGAAGTGCACTACTCCCCCGTAAGTACAATAATCCGTTCGTTCACCACCGCATACACTTGCGGTCCGGAGTTTTTCAAATATCTCAGCATTATATACTACTGGAAGTGTAGTTTTTTTTTCTCATCTGATTGGAATGGTAGTAAAAAAGTGGAGTTCCATGCTTGTTCACAGTTCTACAAATTCCGGTTTTTAAAGGCGTACATGCTCACCATGGAATGATTCGAGTCGTGAATCCACTCCAGACGTTTGTGCCGTGGGGTGCCCGTCTAAAGTACGCAAAACTTGGATCAATTAGTAAGTTGTGTTTGTTAACGTATTTTGATATGTAAGTAAAGCTCGTGTGAAACTACTTCGTGGTAACTGAAAGTTTTGAAAATTTTCCTGGAACTACATCACCGTTTTTAAACAAAGGAGTCTATGAAAATTATAGCTTTACTTATGATATTGGACTGATGCATGACATGAACCTGCCAAAGGCCTTCACAGTTCTTATAATCGCTGCACTTTTGGTACCGTTTACTTCGTTTACATATAAAAACTGTACTTATAATCACAATTTTAACCTTTTTATTTACTGCCTATTCTTTTTAGTGGCAAGGTATGTTTAGAAGTATAACTTCTATAATACTGAGATATGCAAAACTCTGGACCGCCGGTGTCTGCGGTGGGGAACGAACGCGCTATTGTCCTTTCGGGGGAGTAACGCGTTCACCACCACACCATGCGGGTCCTTCGTTTCGCCTGTCTCTCAGCTAGTTCTATCGATCACTTGCCATCAGCAATCTGTAACGCCTTCAACTTAACTGGGTTCAATACCGATTTGGGCCCTGAGATTAATCCCGTTGACGAGTGATTGCTGATGGCAAGTGATTGAAAGAACTAGCTGAGACACAGGCGAAATGAAGGATTCGCGTGGTGTGGTAGTGAACGCGTTACTCCCCGGAGAGGACAATAGCGCGTTCATTCCCCACCGCAGACACCTGCAGTCCGGAGTTTTGCAAATATCTCAGCATTTATAAGTTATAAAGAAAGCAAATAACTGTTTTGAAATCCATTCAGTATAGGGGTCATAGAGGTCGTGTCTCATTTTTAGGATTCTCTCCATGAGGTTGCTAATGTTGGTCACTTAACGTGGTTTGGTGTTGGACTATTAAATTCCTGCCATTTGTTGAAATTTCATAAATTTTAGATCGTTCTTATGCTGAGTCGCGGGTTGGAAAGGAACATGGAGATATTCATTAGTTGGTGGTTATTTTTCGTTGACTTTTTGGCGAAGGTTACGTTATCGATATTTGAATCCAGTCTCCGCATGCAAGAGAAAAAGGAACAAATCAGCGAACAAGTCGCAAAGGGAATGCAGTATTTAGCTGGTATCGGTCAAGCCGTTACAAACGTTTTGGCAAACTTCGGTATGACAGTAAACATTTCCTCCTAACTGTTTTCGCTCCATCGCTAAAGAATACTCAACTTTGTTCAATTCACAGGTATTGATTCAAGTTATGAGATTCGCACTGATGACCACAAACATGGATTGTCGGCAGGGGAAAAACCCCCACCATCAGCACCTGCTCAATGCCAGGTTGATCGTAAGCCAACTGAAGGAAGTGAGCAGCAGAAGGCAAATGAAACACAACCAGTTTCTGCAGCTCTTTCTCGAGAATTACCCCAGGCAGGCGATGTATGTTATGTGGAGGTGTTCAATGTTTATTGTTTTATACGTGTGTGCAATATATTCTTAGTGGACTGAAAGTAGTAGTGAGAGCAAACAATCAGTGGAGTGTCCATCAATTTCTATTCAACGCTTTGCTTTTGCAAGATAACGAAGTATAAGTACATTCTTAACATTTTTTGTGTTGTACATATGCAAATACAATCTGATGTAAAATTCCAGAAATTCGACAACCTAGAGAAGACTGAGGAGGGTTACCGCATTGCAGTAGCTGACATTAACGTTGGAGGTTAGTGTTAAAAGTTCTCGATTTACTTTTGTATATGCGGAAAAGGCGGATCTCCTTCATAAAGTAGATCTCGACACTACGTTGGTGTGATTCATTTGTGTTAATTATGTAGTGCTCGGCGATTTCACCGGAAATTTGCGTTAAATTGATTGAGGAGTTTTAAATTGTGATAAAAGTTTTATCGGTTTTTAACTTCCACCATCAAATATACATCTTGCAGAATAGTAAGTTTTAATAATCGAACGAAATACCATTGCTTTGCAGATATTTGTTAAAATAATGCAACTTTGTCTTTACTGGTTCACTAGAATTTTATGAACTTAAGGATCATCAGAAGTTATCTTTAGTAGTGGCTCAGTAAGAAATACTGTGAACAAATAGTCTTTCTATAGCGATTTTTTCAATTTCCATTGTTTTGGTTGTGTAGTCGGGAGTGGTCATGAAACATAATTTTTTCTTAGTTGATAACCGACGTATGGAGACGTCGCAATTATTGGTGCACTGTGTCGGCTTTTGCCATCAATTTCCTTACTCCTATACAATGATTTCTACAGGGTCTGAAAAGCTAGTGGGTGATTCACTCTGCTGACCACAAGGTAGTAACCAGTCATCTTTTGACTGGAATTTAGTCTTGAGGTGTGCTTCGATGCTTAGTTCATCCAACCTTGCATAAGATTTCACTGGAATGTCGTACAGAGTTCAATTCTAGTCATTTTGCGTGATTTGGTGAAGAGTCGGATCGTTCCTTATGTGTAAAGGTAGCGCGAGACAGATAATTGCGACGATTTATTCCCTATTTGCTCGATTAATCAACCACAATCGTTTATCTGCTTTTTAAACGTTTCGTTTCTACTGAAATGTTTCGAAAGTGTCACTTTCCTTCTTTCTTTTTTGTTGCAAACCCACTTGCAAGTTACTGATATCGATTAGATACAACTAAAACACGTAATGGTATAAAATTTTATTCGAAAACAAAGCGTAGTAACTTTACAAGATCGATATTCTCTTCACGATAGAAGCGGTGTGGTGGCAGTAAAATTCTTGGGGAATCAAATTGTTTAACACCCTTATTACTGAGAATTTGTTAATTCATTCGTTGGTTTTAAGTTATGAGCGGCGTTTTTATTTTTACCAGGTGGGCAAAAAAGTCCTGTTACGAAATCTCAGGAATTCGTGCATTTCCGTTTTTGGTTTGTTTTCTCCAATTGTTTTATGTGAAACAGATAGTTGGTATAATATAATGAGGTTTACTAGTTTTAGATGTTGATCCCGGAAGGTATAAACGAACTGTCATTAAGACAGTCGTTGCAATTCGTTTCTGTTCTTCTTTGAATCCAACCAGTCAACTACAGAGGCCACCGTAACATCCGTGCTACATTCGAAAAGGATGTGATCTCTCACATACCGTGATGGTTCACCGACAGCGACACCAGTACGAAGATCATGTCCATACCTGAAGCCCAGTTGAGTCGGTCTTGGATGTTTGTCTCATATGATGTACGATGGCGGATTGGTCGAGAGTGTGAACCATTTCATTGTTAAATATAGAGTCTTACTTATTTGGATACTTTGACGGCCCGTCCTCATTGGTTGTGCGGCCCCAACCATATTCTCCATTTTTCGAAGTTTTGTTGGCTTAGCCATTGTGGTTCCTTGGAGTCCCGAAGTCAGCCTGATCAAAATCTGCTCCAGGTCGTCACTACCATAAGCAGTCGCGGCCTTTGTGGATTAGAAGGAGATTTGCTACCATTCGACTAGTTTGGTACCAGGGCGGTGGTCGATCCTGGTATTGCTTTCATGAATATGGAGTCGCGAAGCAGAAACAAGGAATGAATCAAGTCCACAAACTGTCGACCATCAATTATCCGGCAAATTCTTCAATCAAAGTTCCAACAACCGGGGTTCTCGGTTTGGTGCTTGGTTTGTACCGTCGAATACAGGAAGTTCTTGGCTCAGAGGTATTATCGTAGCTGAGCTCTGTTGTGATCAAACAGAAAAGGTGGCAGCCGCTTTCGATTCGTTCAGCCTCCTAATCAGCAAAGTTGTGCTGGAAAAGAGACTTATGATTATCAAGTTCCTGGCAAACTACTAGCTGATAAACCGTGTTGACAAAAATTACTTTCATTACAAAGTCAAAAACGTACTCGAGCAGGTGTTCAGGTCAAAATGCCATGCCATCTGCAATAACGGTGTCGATTTTTCTGACAGCTAATGTCCCACTGATTCAAGGTAGTTCGATTAGAAGAAAACTATTTTTGAGAAAGTAACATTTTGTAGTAGAAGTTTGTTGCCAACTTATACGGCGTATATTGGCGGCTGCTTTTCAGTGCATGAGAACTTCAGTGAATTTTTTCAGTGGCTTATTAAGGACACTTACCTTTCTGTTAGTTTTTTGTGTCGAATATTACTCAATAAAAGATGTTATAGGCTGCAGATGTTTCGTTTCCGACGTTGGGAATTGGATTTGCCCGAAATGTGCAAATGCAAAGAAGAATGCAAGGGAAAGAGATTTTAGAAAGAAGTATTTATTTAGATGCGATACGCTGCCTACATTTAATTTTTCAGATCAAGAAGACCATCCCGCAAACGCGATCTCTTCGAACGTGCGCTGGAGGACAGAGCTAAAGGTTCAAGAAAATCTTCAATGGTAGGATTCTAGCATAAATACGCTGGTGAAGTTTTATTAAGTACATGAGGTGTTCCTGATTAAACAGGCCTTTTTTTGAAGTATTAGCATTTGAGTTTGAGTAGGGCGCGTATGGCGCAGTGCTCGGAGGCGCCTTTCAACACACACGTGGAATCGATCCCCGCGCCCTTGGCCCACCAAGCCTTCCATCCCTCCGGGGTCGACAAATTAGTACCCAACTTGTCAGGAGGATAGCACCACTGCCTCCATACATTGGAAGGTCACCACGGGTCATTGTAAAGGCCAGATATGGATTCAAACACCTCCAAACCATGTTTAATGAAGCAGAATGCATGGAGCATTTCTCAGGGATTGATCAACGCAGGGAGCTTTAGAGCTTTTTACCATTTGTATGGGAAAGAAGCGGGTGAACACATCAGCAGCGAAAGTGCCAGGCCGATTTCAATAGTTTTTGTTGCAAGCGGAATTTCATTAAGTAGGATAAGAAATAAAGTGAAGTAGAATACAGAAGTGTATTTGGTTTTTTGCGAACGCAATTTGGTTTGATATAATAGGAAATGAAGTGAACTATTATATAGGAATAAATAAGGAGCAAATAAAGATGTAGTGGTTTTGGTTGCTAGACGGAAAATTACGTGAACGTTTGGTTTATGAATGAAAT